TCCAGAAGAAGAAGGGACTCTAGAGAGGCTAGAGTCCCTAAAAAAGACAGAACCTAGGAAAGTAGGAAGAAATGGAGGCATGAGAGTTTTGGAAATTAGGAGTTACATATCTTACAAATGTAAAAGAGAAGGTTGAGTTCACTCAGCAAACAAGGTGATAAAGCTTCCCAAACGAATCAGGTACTGAATAAGAGTCAATACTAACTGAGGGGCATGAATAACCAACCCAAACGAGTAGACACTATCTAGAAGGAGAAGAGAAGTTGAAAAAATAGTGCCTCTCACAGTAGGGCTAGGAGATACCCATTGTCTGTACAGTAGTGGAAATAATACTCAAAAAGTGCATCCTCAGTGTGGAAGCCTTCAGGATGTAGTTGAGAATAGACAGGCTTAAGCCCTGAAAACAGAGAAAACTCCCTAGACAGAACTTGTGTGATCCAATGGTTTTCTGTAAAGTCAATTCCCAAATTAATAAAATTACTAAGGGACCAAAATTTAAGGGTAGTACCATAAACAACTGATCTCCAAGCCCCATGATGGCTGGGCTGTGGGGGAGCAGGGGGGAAGACATGATGAGGAATTCCCTAAAAAAAAAACTGCATCTCAATTAAGTAAATTCCAGAAACAAAGATATCAAGTTAACTGGGCAGCTCCTGAAAGAAGAAATCGGGGCAGCATGAAGAATGGTTTCATGCAAACCTCTTCAGTAAATTTGTGACGGGGTTGTGACGCTGGAAGAAAGGAATCCAAGGACTGAAGCTTTAGAAAAAAAGGATGAATTCTGACCACAGGCCACACAGAAAACTGAAGTTTGGAAAGGGTGTGAAAACTGAAAGTCAACATGAACCAAGACAGAAAGAATCTGCAAAAATGCAACCATCAGGTTACTTTCAAAAGAGAAGGATGAAAAACAGTGTTGCAGTGCATGCAAGATCTCCTTAGAACCAGCAGAAACAACTGATTAAGAAAAAAAAAAGTCACATACCTAAGTTATCAGAGCACCAAAGGCAAGGGTGGATTCTACCTAATCCTCATCATAGATAGATGAACCATAAATAAAGGCAGGTTGTGAGAAGACCTGGTCAAAATTGTCCAAAGACAATGCAGGCATATCAGAAGCTACAGATACAGAAGGCTGTGAGACCTGGGTGTGAGAAAAAGAATGCAGGATAGAACCAACCACATGATGTGCAATGGTAGTTACACTCTATACTGCCAGAACCTTCAGTCATTACTTAAGAAAAATAAGGCAACTCCTTTGAAGGAAAATTTGACCTCTGGAGGATTCAGAAATATGGATATAAGAATTCCTATCAAGAAGATCCACAACACTAAATTCATTAAAGTATTAATATAATTACAATCTATACTTTTTTAATTTTTCTATGCTTTTCCCCCCTCATACCAACAATGACAGACACATACTGATGACAATCTGGGACCAAAGGTGGACTTCCCTTCTCTTTATATTGACAAGTACATGCCTTCAGACTTTCCTGACATGTTTATTGTACTTGGTCCTTTTCACTTTGCAGAAACTCAAACATAGCATTAATAATGATGGAGGAATTTCCTATCAAAGAAATTATGTGTCCCAAAAAATCTTGAACTGAAATTCAATTTACAATTTATATCATTCTTTCACAAAATTAAGAAGAGAACAATTTAAATGTTAGTTAAAAGTTAAAATAATAAGCACAAAAATGTCATCATTTGTATTGAAAAAAAAACATAACTGAACCCTGTAGTGTCAAAACAAAAAAAATGAGATTTTTGTATGCACAAAATGCTCAAGGGGAGTACTACATATGGAGAATGCATCACCTTCCTACTGGTGAAAGGGTATAATTTAATGTTTTGCATCATAGACTGTTGCAGTGCAAGTTATTACGTGTAGGAGTGGGAGTTTCATTCAAAGGCTTGGAACATGCATAAAACTTTTTGGCAGAGGCATGACGTATTACCTATCTATTCTGTGGAGTGGTGATTAGTATGTTCTGAAAATAATAATAAATGTATTATAAACTACTTTTCAATTGCATAATAAACTTTAAAGCAAGCTCATTGAAACCAGTACATGTCGTGATGGAAAATAAATGATCTTGCATGATATAAAGCATATTCTCAAATATCATCACACTTTTCTATGGAGTGGTACTGAATAAACTGTATAAAGGTCAATAGCTGCTACAAAAATCCAGATCAAAAGAAGGTACTGAAAGAAAATGAACTCACAGACCTACAGAGAGAGATACAGTTAATGGATACATCACGGATAGCATGAACGTCCAAAACACTTCAGCTCATATACATAATATGCCAAACAAACTGGAAACCACTAGCTTACTAAATGTAGAATACTGGTCCAATACTAGCAAAATTAGTAACCCCCTGTCCAACCTATACTTTGAAATAAAAGTTCAGGAATATAGGCCAGCATATCCATTATATGTAAAGAACTCCATGTCATCTATCACAGCTGTTAACGTAAGATATTAGCTCTCATGGTGCCTTGAGTATTGAAAGATTTGGACATTAAAATCAGTTTTAAAATTTAGTTTAACATCTAAACAATTACACACAGAATTTTATATTTCTCAAAACTAGAAAAAGGTGAAAGCATACCATTTCATCCTTATAAAAATCCTGTTCAACTTTTCAGCAAAATGACCAAAATAAACCTCAATGCAGATACAAGTACATTTCTATAAATGCTTTATATATATGAAAAACTAGTGACCTGATGATTAAAAATGAGCCCAGCAGTGTTGAAAAAATCTGGCTGCTGACTTGCTACCAAATTAAGCTATATGCCAATAGATAATCAGAGGTCGCACTAACCCCTAAAAAACTGAAGTTTTTAAACACATGCTCTCTAAAACTTTGCATTTTCAACCATAATACCTACTTATTTACATATCGTATTAAAATAATTAATTTCCAATGAAACATGTTTTCATATTAATTAAGTTAACATGAACACAGTAATGTATCACCAACATTGCTTAATGCCCAACACCTGAACACCACACACACATGCATAATGGTATATGAGAAACTAGATATCTTAAAGCAATATGTTAAGCTCTTGCATTGTTGAACGTTTAGAAACAATAGAAGATTTATTCACTTATCAGTCACCTGTTGCAACAATACTGTGTACACATATCCAGACAATTCAGTATTATTTTGCATGTTCATAAGTATATTTAAAACAATATTGGAGCTTAAGTTTTGAATCCATAACTCTGTAGTTTCTTAAATGCTTTGTAACCAGCCAAGGTAAATTAATAATCATAACTTATTTTATTTATTATGCAAACACACACTTAGTCAAAGTGAAAACCTAGTATTTAGAATATTCTTCAATAGCCTAAATTTAAAGTCAAAGAACACAAAAATTAGAAATAACAAAGTTTGAAAACAATTACAGGATGAACAAAATGAATAAAAATAAAACTAGAAAGCCTATCCAGATAATATAGTATTACTGGGTTAATAACACTGTTTAACTTCTCCATGCTACTTACTGTAATGTTATATTTTCCCAATGATGAAATGACACCCATTAACTTATTAAATGTTAACTGTGTAACACTGTAACCAAATTTTCAGTACTTTTTACATAAAAATAAAAGAGATTCACTATCATATGTAGTACTTGGATTAATCAATGTCAACCATTATAGTCCTAATATGACCAAACAAAGTTACAATAATGTTAATATATTTTGTGGTACAAAAGTTTTAATTATTATAGCTTTACCTTTCAAAGTTTGAAACCCCAACAGGAAATAAGAAAACACAGTCTACCACACAACATTAGTTTTATTGTAGTGACAACAACTTGGGGCCTATCAAAAGGCTAATTAATTTATTCTTACCAAACATCTATGTCTTTTGGATATATGCAACTGTGTCTTTTTTTTTTTTAAGAAGATGTTTGGAGCAGTGAAACATCTTTCAAATTGCATTACTCAAAAAACACATGGTAACTTGAACCAGTACTTCTTATTACTTTGAATTTTGAGAATACAGTGTTATTTTGTTGCGTTTTCTTAAAACTTCTTGTATATCGAGTCCAGAATTCTGAGAAAACATAACTTCTTGATAATTAATGCAATTCCTACAACTCATGTTTATTTTGGGTTCTGGACTAACCCACTTAGTTAACCAGTCATCTTTCTTCCTGTCATTTTGACAGACTAAAAAAAAATTGGTGCACATTTAAACATTCTATTATTAAGTCCTTTTTTTCTAAAGCATAAGCATCACCAAATTACAATAGTTACTGCTGACACTTGCATCACATTCACACCTGCACATCTCACAATGGTTAATTTTAAATAATTACCCCAAACTGAATGACTTCCTGCCAATTTAAAAGGCACTAACCCTCATCCCAATAAAAAAATAATGTAATTTACTGATTTTCCCAGTAGAGCAGCAGTCAACAACTGCCATAATGAGCTGAGAGGTATCATATATTTAATGTATCAAATATATGGTCGTACTCTTCACCAGGGGCCAGTTGCAATCAACTCTGTTTTTAAGTATTTCACTTTTCACTTAAAGTTGAGAGAAAAAATAGCAAAAAAACAAAAAGCATCATTTGGAGCAGTCTTTAATATGTTGTCTTTTTGATTAATGCACACATTAAAATGAGCATGGCTACCATGTGGAACAGAGTCAGCAAACTGGCCCTTCAGGATAATTCCAATGTCAAAGTCTACAATATATAACACAACCTATCACTGAAATATATTGTTGTTTCAAACATATGTACATTGGAACCTCATACTCAAGAAACCATTAAAAAATTACTGTTTCATGTAATCAAGAGCTTCCCTCCAGAATACCCCAACTCCAACATCATACCTTCAAATTCAGGTGGAACTAAACATATCATACAAAATTTGGAGCACAAGTCATGGTTCACTTACAATGTACAAACAATTTCAAGTAAATATTCATCATTTGCTAAATCTATTCAAACATACCAAGTTTTCATATGATGCTGCCCTGTTCTGGTAAAAGGTGGCCAAGTCACCTTTCCTATCTTCAGGACAAACCTTAATTGCTTCAGTGTAACAATCAATAGCTTTATCATATTTTCCCTCTTTAAAGTACCTGTTTCCTATATTTTTGTAAGCCTTTGCTTTCTCACAGGGCTCCTGAAAAGATAAAATGTACATATATGTATATCAACAGACATACACAAATACACACAAATAGAAAAAAAGTACAGTACTAAGAAAGTAACAAACTGCATAGTGAATGATAAAAAAATAGTCTGCTGTTTGAAAATTAAACCATTCTCTTAACTCTTTCAGCATGGACTCGGTCCCTGGGATTGACCTCATAACCATTTTGTGCTTGTTATAGTTTTCATGCTATAACTTTTAAATCAGTATGTGAACGTTAACGAAATTTGGCAGATTATCAGTAAACATTAATTCTTTTATACGCAAAATATATAATTGTTTTATCAAGTCTTAAGGTTTGTAAAGCAATGTTTTTCTCATGCCTTTGTTGACTCGCATTCAAAATTTCGTTAAAATATGCGTACTAATTTAAAAGTTATAGCATAAAAACTATAACAAGCACAAAATGATTATGAGGTTGGTACCAGGGACCAAGCCCGTGCTGAAAGAGTTAAAAGAACAAGAAATCTTCATCACTTTGTTGCATAAATCAGGTAAGTCTCCAATCATCTTCTTAAACAACCTTTTAAAAGTAGCTATGCTGTCTAAAAGGACACACATTTAAAGCTGATACTACTGTTGAAGCTGATACTATCAGTGATAGGTGAAAATTTGTGGTCAGCACATAAACTTTTAATTTTTATGAAGGTGATGTTACATACTCAAAACTTTCATCAGCTCTATGTCAGAGTACACAGAAGATCTCAAGTTGTTGGAATGTTTCTCCTTTGCTGCTAACCCCTCAGCCAGAGTACTGTGGTGTGGGTGATATTGAGTATTGTGCCTGCTATTGCTAACAGTAAGAGCTAAGGAGTGGAATGCTCACTGTAATACGTCTTATAACATTCTTACTGGTCAACCAAGCCAGTTACTGTATCCTCACAAACCTTGCAGATACAGACCTTAAGTTTCTGGTAAACTCAACAGACTATGAAAATAAAATTCCTCGTAATTGTTAGTGTTACTTAACTTACTACTACTAATAATAGTAATGGAGACAACACTTAACTTTAAATATTTCAAGAATTCATTTGTTTTTAAACTTATATCGACTATTTACTACAAACCTACTTTGGGTAAAACCTCTTCATCAGTTTTGTTTTTCTGAAAATCACGTCCTGATACTGATATCAATGATTCCTCAGACTCAGATGATGCTTTCTGGGTACTAAATTTTGCCGACGTCGGGTTCAAGTTAGATTTGGGCTTCAGGTTACCTTTTCCATTTATCGAAAAGTCATCATCACGTTTGGACTTAGATTTTCTGTAATACCAATATCCCAATCCAATAGCAACTGGTGCTCCAATTGCTAACGCATATGTCCATTTTGGCCACCCTATCTCATTTTTTGGCAAATTACCCTCACTTCCAAATCTGCGTGACGCCATATTACTTCGGTCTGTGGGCACGAGGTGATAAGCGCGTCCTCTCCACATAAAATGCAAAATTTACATCAAGACTGTGTCACCACGAAAGATGCATTAGTTGGTCAGTTTAATGTTATTACTACTATCATTATGGTAAAAAATTTTTAGACTTCTACTTACATAGTTCAATAGTAATTGTAATTATATCTCATATAAATATAAATAAAAAACAACATTAAAAAATTATCCAGGACTATAACGAAATGTATCATCGTCAATATTATAAATTCTACTTCTTAGTGAGAACGAGTTCTGTCTATTGAAGTTTTAATATAAAGATTTAAGCTTAAATTTAACATATTAGTAAATTCAAGTCGGAAATTCAAATTCAAAAGTCAGTTTATTTACTTTTTGTTTGAATCATTATTGGAGTTTTATTTTCAATAATAAGTTGTAATCGAAGGCGTGATTTCTGGTCTTTTATTTTTATCTGCGTCCTCCGGTAGATTAATGGTAAATTTCTGGACTTAAAAAGCTAAAATCCGTGTTTAGTTCCCCGTGGTGGACAGAACGTAGATTTGACCTAAGAAAAAAATACGACAATGAATTATACCTGTTTAAAAAATTGCTATTTTTAGATTATACGTTTAATGCTGTAAGAATGTTATGATTACGACCAATGGTAGATTAAGTAACTTAAATAAATATGTAATATTACAATGTAGTTGTTTAACTTAAGTTAGTGATACACCTGTCGTATTTGAATATGCCGTGTCTATCTTCTTTTAATATAATCGTATTTATTCTGAATTCATCCCTTGTTCTGTATTTTTGCAGGTTAAAAAAAAACAAGTTTATTTCATTCTTAAAGGTTATAATCCTACCTATGCTGTGATGAGAACGACCAGTCGCGGGAAAGCGCTAGTTGCCCTGGGTAGATACGAGGTTCTAAGGAATATTGCGTTTAGTCAGTCAAGAACTGCATCTTCATTTGTTCAGTCTTTTTTTGGAACATTACATTGGGTCAGTATAGTCTGTAATATCTCTTGACATTGTCTTATCAAGGGGAGAGACACAATTAATCAAAAAAGGTCGGAGGAACAGTCCATCGTATTTATTCAAGCAAATACACACAATATTTCGTTTAGTGTTTAATAAAGATTGTTCATTTTGTATTGCACTTTATGTGTATTCTCGTAATTTCATTTTACACTGACTCAGTAAGAGATTTGGTATTATTCTGTAAACGATATCTTGAATGAATCTCTTGAGCTTATTGATAAGTATAGAAAATTGTTAAGGGAACTTAAGGAAAGGGTTCATAGCTTGATTTTGTCAGGGATATTGTCAAGACTAAATTATGGGGATGAGATACTAAGTAAGCCACTAGGATTGAATGCCAGGCTTAGATCAGTATGTAGGTATGAGAAAATAGGCTGGTTGGACTTGTAGGATAACTTTTAATTGGAAAGTTAATATTTTTGGAATGGATGGCTTACATTTAAACAAGGCAGGAGCTAGCAAATTATTAAGGACTATTAACTCAGCTATAGTGGTAGATTTAAAGTAGGGTTAGACAGACGTGAGGGCTATAATATGAGTAAAATAGGCAATATAATTGACAGGAAAACATGTACAACAGATATAAAGCATGAACATATTTCAAAATCTATGGTTAATTGTTACTATGGTAATGCTAGGAGTGTTAGAAATAAAATTGATGAATGCAAAGCAATTGTGGAAACTGAGAATTTTGATATTATGGGTATCACTGAGTCTTGATTGGATTTGAACTATTTTGACGAGAGAAATGTTTTTGAAATACCAGGCTACAGATTATTTACAAGATATAGAGTATTGAAAAAAGGGGAGGAGTAGCTTTATATGTGAAGAGTGAACTGTATCCTGTTGAGTTAGAACATATTAAAGAAAATATCACTGAGGTTGAGTCAGTTTGGGTTAATGTTGGTGTATATAAAGGGAAAAGTAATGTAATTGAGATTTGTTATAGACCATCAGATCAGAATGTGGAAGTTAATAAGAAACTGTATAATGAGATCAGAATGGTAGCTGAAAAAGATTTTGTTATTATGGGAAATTTTAATTTCAGGGGTATTAATTGGGTAAATTTTGAGTCTGACAGTGAGGAAGATACGTTTTTGGAAATTGTTCAGAATACTCTTATACCCCAACTGATAATGGGACCTACAAGAGAGGAAGCTATTGTTGCGTCATCGAGTCACATGACTACAGTGACGCAACGTTTCTAGAATTATCATGTACTTTGGCGAATGCTCTAGTATTTACTAGTAGGGTAGGCTGGTATATATATAAGAGGGGAAAACGTGACGCGGAAGGTAAGGTAATGTGTGTATAGATAGTTCCGG